TCGCTGACAGTAGTTTGAAAATAAATAATACACTAGAGGTTTTTACGCCAGTGAGTGAAAAAAATTTTATCCAACCGGAGTCTGGAGTTCAGATATGCTCTTGCATCTAAAAAGTATAATGGACCAGCAAAGAAAATATAGCCCAATGAAACTTTGAATTGCCCATGGCTGCCCACTCCTCAAAAGGCCTTCGCTGGGAAATGGCCCAACGCTAAAAGAATCCTGGCTACACCACTACGTATATGAATGAAATTGTTCCAAATATATATATATATCTAATAGTAATAATAATAATAAGAAGAAGAAGAATATTCAAATTATTGTGAAAAAGCAACAGAAAACTGAACTTGTGTAATGTCCTTCCCATAAAACACAAAGCAAAGATTATTGTTTATCAGTTCAAAATCTTAAAACAATGAAGTGAAGACGATGATAAAAGTTTTAGTAGTAGATAAAAATACGCCGCGTACGAACGATGTGTTCAATGCGTTGACTATTCCTCTTCATCAAAAAGTCGCTAGTAGTAATATGTGAAGATGTGTCGAAAATAATACAGTTATTAATGTCTGTCTGTCTTCTAACATCGGACTGAACATAATCTTTTCCTAAAAAACAAGTAATACTTGTTCAAATGGTTATCACTTCCGAAAAATAAAACCAGAACGAGATCTGTAAAAATTTTTGCAAATATCTGAGCCTCTCCAAGCCTAAGGGCTCCGCCGCCAACGCTTCGAGTTACATTTTAAATGGATAAAATGAACCAACTTAAAAATGTAAAACAAAGTATTTTTTGTTAACTAAATGATTTATTTTAATTAATCCCATTAAAACGATAAATCTAATAAATATCTGTTTCTATTTGTTTGCTATCTTATTTTCCAACGTTGTCTTGAATTTTATAATTCTACATGAAAATTTTCTAATTTCCACTAGTTCTATTTATAATTTTCATAAAACGTTCATAAGATGATAATAAAACATTAGCTGTTTATTGTATATTTCTATGTTTTGACATACATGACATACGTATTATACATCTTAATTTTATCGAGCTAATAATTCACATCGTTGTCGAGCATTTTCTGTATTTAAATTTTCTTCTGTACCGACAGTATTTGAAGATAAATTCAAATAATGAAAATTTACTACTACTTAATAATAGAATATCTTGTAATACATGTACTTCAAAATACCACATGAAATCTAGTCGAACAGCCAATCCAATTCATCTGCATATGTGAGCAATCATAAAAGAAGCACAAAATACCGAAAACC